CACTTCATCCTGCATTCTGTTCCCCAGCACACTTTGCTTTTGTAGCCAAGGGTCTAGTTTTGGAGGTGAGGTGTGAAGTTGGTGAGTGCTGTGATCTGTGTGTCCTTACAGTGCAAGTAATCATTGTGGTCTCTGTATCACCCTGTGACAATATAGGGCAAGTGGGGAATTCAACATACTGGAGATTTGGAGATGATATTTTCAATCCTCATTAAAAACATAGTCTGTTCTTACGTAGGATAAATTCTCACTATTTGTATGGTTGCTGATGATGAGTTCAGCTGCTGTCCCCTCTGCTTCAGGTGCTTTGATGAAGCTATAGCTCGTTACTTGTGTGTTTTAATAAAAGTAGCAAGGCTCTGAGATCTGAGTCCTGAACAGTGCCTTCAAACCCAGTAGCCATTTGCTAACAGGTGGGCATGCAAGGGAGCGAGCAACTTCTCTCTGTTGCAGAGAGGTCATGAAAAACGTAGTAGCATTGGAAGTGCTCACATTGGAATTGTTCAACATCTCCTTTCTTTTTGCCTGCTCCAGTTTCATCTGGGAGGACGCTACAGATGCTGCTAGAGAACAACCTGGGCAGCCTGGGGTCCATACCATGTAGGGCTCATGCATTTAGGGCAAGAGGTGATGGCCTCAGGTTGCTATAGAGAAGGCTCAGGTTGGATGTTAGGAGAAATCTCCGAAGAGCGCTCAGCACCGCACCGCTGCACAAAGGTGGGGGGTCTCTGTTCCTGGAGGTGTGCAGAGCTGTGGGGATGTGGCACTGAGGGACGTGGGCAGCGGGCATGGCGGGGTGGGCTGGGGGTGGATTGGGAATCCTGGAAGGCTTTTCCAACCTGAATGATTCTATGATTCTGTGATCTTGGTGTTGCCCTCAGCCGGTGCTTATGGCAGGACTCAGCTGCCCCTTGTTCATGGCTGCCCCTGTCTGCCCATCCCAGTGAGATGCAGGGGGCTGGGTGGGCTCAGAGCACGCGATACAGCCTGGGTTAGTCCTGTCCACTAATGGGGAGACCACTTCTCCTGTAGGATGCCTGCTTCTGTGGAGCTCTGGATGCCCATAGAATGGCATTTTTTTTGTCTTGGTTTATGAACTCCCTGGCCGCCAATGGAAAGGTGGGATCCTCAACCAGCAGTTGAGTTCTGTGCACAGAGCGTGTTTGCGAAAAGTAGATCAGAAATCTGTAGGCACAGTTTAGAAAGAGAAAGTCAAATATTTTTCTTAGGCTCACAAATGGCTGTAGGAAGCATAAGGAAGGCATTGTTAGAATGCGTCGTCAGTGAAGACAATGCCTGGCTGAAGCGTGATCTTTAACAATGAGATAATTGTGATTTAATTGGCTCTGAGCGATGCAAGGAGAGACAAGCGCGTGCCTTTGCTGTTTGAAAGCCTGGGGGAAGGGTTCTGTGGTGCTGCTGGGCGTCCTGGAGCCATCTCCATTGCTGCTGAGCATGTTCCCCAGGCTCCAAAGGAAACAATCTTTCTTTCTTTTGGTGGGATGCTCCTTTGAGCCGAGCCCCCACGTGCATATGTCCATGTACGGATCCATAACAAGTACAAAGTCCCTGTTCCCATCTCTCCAGCTCCATGTTGCAGTGTTTAGGGGCAGGCTGGCCTCTGGGCACTGTGGCTGCTCTGCCTCACAGGGCTCTGCTGAATCTTCCCCCTCCCATGGAGATGCCAGCTGAAGGTTGGTGGCCCACGTGTGCCCTGCTGTGCGTGGCAGTGTGATGGTGATGTGCTCAGTGGGCATGGTGGCAGTGGGTTGGTGGTTGGACGTGGTCATCCTGGAGGTCTCTTCCAACCTTAATGATCCTGTGATGGTTTTCGGGCAGCAGGCTGAGCCTTGTGAGGTGAGGCTGGAATTTAGGCCAAAAAATGACAAGCTTCCTCCCATTGTGTGCAACAACAGAGACGCCTCCATAAGGAGCACTGGGGCTGTTGGAGTGCTGGGACTGGATTGTATGCTGTCCCACCTCGGTTCCTTCTTGAGCGTGCTTTCATGTCCCACTGTTAGATTGATAGTGATCATTACAGCTTTGTGCAGGGTAAGTGCTAGGATAAGGATAACAGGTGCTGCTGTCCTGGATGTCTTCACAGCTTGATGGGGTGCTGAGTGCCATGCTGTGCTCCTATTCTGCACAGTGGTGTCACACCAGGGTGGTGTGGGCTGTCACACCAATATAGTACAGGCTGTCAGACCGGGGCGGTGTGTGTAGGGCACAACTGGAACAAAATGAGGGCAGGAAGGCACAGACAGGTTGGGCTGCTGGTTTTCTGCTGAGCTTTTGGGATCCTTCTCTTCATTCGCTTCTCATCTCATTTTAAGCATTTCTTTTTTCATTTTTGTGCCTAAGAGTGAGTGCTTGAAGGGAAGCAGGAGCACTGTGGTGGTGGGGGGATTGTAAAGACACGAGCAGCAGCTTTGTGGTACAGGAATGGCATTTCTGAGAAGCCCTTGCTGTGCCCTTGGTCAGCATGGGCCTTGAGAACATGGCTGCATTCTCTCCCGTCATGCTGTGGCCTTTCTATTTCCATATCCGTTACGTAGTTGGTATTTAGTTAAGTAAAAGTGCAGATTTAATAAGCAGGAGGAACCACCTGTGGTAAACTGGACAGACTACAGAGATGCCAAAGAGCAGCCCGGTGCAAATGCAACAGGAGGCGATGCCTTTTACTAGCAGAGGGATAATTAGCATGACCGTTAATTACAAATCCTTGCCAGCCAGTGCAGATTCCAAGCCTGCTCTTTTCCATGGAGTTGTTCACCATAGCAGAGAAGGGCCCAGCACTGCCCTTCGGAGCACCTGTAGCTATGAGAAATGGTTGTCTGCCTTATCAACTTCTGCAAAAAGAGGTTTATGCAGGAAATCCAATAATGCCTGAGAAACGAGAATCTGCATTCCTAAGCCTGCTAAAAGACAAGGGTAGAAACAGCACCCAGAGCTTCACAGGGGCAGCAGTGCATGCTCCTGCCGTGCCCACGCTGCTGTGACAGCAAACAGCTGAGCAGCTGATGCTGTGCTGGTTGCTGGAGCTCTGGAACATCACAAAGGCTCTGTGCTGGAAGGCGATGCGTTTCCCTTTTCTTTCTGTGTTTGCCTGGCCGGCTGGCACAAAGCTCGTGCTGTGCTGCAGGTGTGGGAGGCCATCCAGAGAGCTGCTGCTGCTTGCAGCTCCTCGGCACAGTGCAGTGAATGAAGTGCTGCATGCTGTGCCCCCACACTGGCCAGTCAGCAGGGAAAAAATACCATCTTCTCTCGGTCTTCTTGGAAGTTTTCTCTAGGAATGTTTCTGTCCCAAAAGCTGGAGGACATGCCGACCTGCAGCACCCCTGGGCTTCCCTGCAGGAAGGTGGTAGGTGTGGGTTGGAGCCATGGCAGCAGACAGAGTGAATCCCAGGGCCTGGTTCTGTTATATGGGGTGTTAGGGGCTGTGGGTAGATGTGGTGGGTTGAGAAGATAAACTGGCAGAGTGAGCAAACGCAGTGTTTGGCAACATGTGGCCAGTGGGCACGGTGTGGGTGGGTTGGGGCTGGACTTGGGGAAGTCTTTTCTCTCCTCAAAGATTCTGTGATTTAAGCAAAGCACTTTGGGGGCTGGGGCGTAGAAAAAGCAGGGGGAAAAAAGTGCAAATACAGCACGTTTATTGAAAATGATGAAGATGTGTCAGCCTGGAAAGCCAAGCAGCAGGACGTTTCCCACTTCCCAGCTGTGCCACCTGCAGGAGCCCCAGTGCTCCCTGCTCCACCATCACAACCACGAGCAAAGGGCAGCATTTGTGCTTGGTGGGTTTGGCATATCCTTCCAGTGAAGGAAAAGCCAAAAAAAAATAAGACAAAAATTTCAAAGCTCGCCACAGTTATCTCAGTTGTCATCTGCTGGGAAGGTTCTCGGCTGGTGTCTCCTTGCCGTGCTGCATATGGTTTTATTTAACCTTTTTGTTAATGATCTGGAAAACGAAACAAACAGCCAGCTAATTAAATGAAGAGATGCTGCTAAAGTGAGAAGTGTTGCCAAGCCAGCAAGGAGAGAGAGAAGCAGGGGATAAACAACGTTGGGATCGCACGGCGGAGGGACACAGAGGGCTCTGGGGGCACTCTGGAAATCCATGGTGCTGTGAAGGAGCCAGGGAGGGAATGCCAACTGAGAGCAGTGTGACACTGGCTGGGCTGAGCTGAGAACGTCTCGGAGCTAAAGAGCAGCAGCACACAGTGAGGTCGAGGGCTGGTGAATGGAGCCGGGTGGTGGCATCTTCTCACTGCTGTGCCAGAGCTGGGGGGGACCCAGGGGTGTGGGCACAGAGGGGCACCTGGGGCAGAGAGCTTCTGCGGGAGGCTGAGGGGTGGTGGTAGGCTGCCAACTGCTTCCCTGTGCTGTTCAGACGGAGCTGAGAATACTTTGTGGGAATAGGCAGTGAATTTGACGTGGAAAAAATGTGGAGAAGTGATGTCACTTGTAAGCATTGTTCATTTTCCAGTGCAGGAGGAGAGGGAGAATTTCAGCTAAGAAGTAAACTTCCATGGTCCTGATGTTATTTCCATTAAGAGCTCTGGGAGATGAGGGATGTGTCTGTGGTCAGAGATGTGTGGTGCAAAGGGAGGATGGGGGTCAGGGGGTCCCTGCAGAGCATCAGCCCCATGGGGCATCCCCACAGACCTGCACAGCTCCCAGGCTGCTCGCCAGGAATCCCAAACCAGCCCTGCAGAGGTGCAGCACAGAAGCACAACCCCACCCTGTGCTGTGTACCAGCATCTATTTGTAGAGCGAACCGTTGCTGTTTGCAGTGGGTTTCGTGAGGCTCTCA